GGGCTCCACAGGGACAGGGCACTGCAGTGTGGGGCCTGCTGTAGCTGATACCAATCCTGACTCGTGAAGGCCTCAGCCCTACGCATGTAGGCGCCAGGTGGGCCATGCCAGAGGCTGTGCTGAAAGGTGAGAGGGCTGCATGGGGAAGCTGGCCCTGCTGCCCATGTCCCGGTGTGCTGATCATGGCCCCTAAAGCAGGTGCTGGAGAAGAGAGACATGTGGAGTAGTGTGCCATCCCCAAGGCTATGTACCCATTGCCAATTGCTGCCATCCTTTGGAAATGTCTTCTTCTGAGCCTCCTTGACCAGCATGGCTCCAGCCAAAGCCAGAGGACCACTCTTCCCCAAGAGCCTGGGGGATTGCTGACCTCCTCACAGCCTCCCACATGCCCACGGTTCCTCTCTGGAGGACAGCACTTGTCAGGATTCCTGTGCACATGCCGCGCTCCAGGGCCAAGGGGGTATTTGTGAGCAGAGGTGCAGCAAGGCAAGGCCTGATGGCCGCTGGCTGTGGAGTAACTGGGCTTGTCTATCCCAGGTTCATGAGGCAGGGCCGGAAAGAGGACTCACTGCAGTGGGTCCCACCCTCCAATGGCTCGAGGAGGGATGATGGCTTCCCTGTTCCCCCGCATAATTCCTCCCGCACAGCAATGCCTTTCTCCCTCAGCACTCAGTCTGCAGATGGAAAGACCACCTAAGGGACACAGGCAGGGTTGCAGCAATGTTTTAATGAGTCTAAAGTGGGAAAGGAAGTGACGGCAAGTGGAGGCCCCCAGCGCAGGGAGGAGCAGGAGCAGCCCAGAATCTGTTCTCCTCTTCCTGTGGCAGAGTTCCCACAGGGCATCTGTTGACCTGCCCGGCAAAGGCAGTCAGGTTAGCAGGGGCCTCTAAGCTGCTTTCTGGGGTCCTCAGAGCAGGCTTTGAGGGGAGCACAAGGCACCAAAGAGCAGAAAGACAAAGGGTGATTGGAATAGAGGCAAGGCAGACATTGACCATGTTTTCAGAGCACCCAGGCTGGCCTCTAACAGTCTGCCCTTGCAGGTCAAGCCAGAGAAGACCAGCGTGTCTGAAAAGTGTGAAGTTTGATCGTCTGTGAAGCAGCATGGTGTAGAGAACCATTACTGAATGTATTTTGTCTCAACCTTGCCATTGTATCACAGCTTCCCACCACTCAGAAGGTCCTGCCCTCACAACACCATGCACCTGTGCAAGGCCCAAGGCATGAAAAAGGTAGAAGGCGTCCTAAGGAGACAGGATGTATGGCACAAACTGCACGTACGCCAGAGCGATCTGCCCATGAGCAAGGGACCCCAACCCCTATAAAAGGAGTGTGTGCGCTCCAGTAAGGGGGCTCTTTCCCATCTTCGTCCCTCGCCTTTGGACCTCTTGGAACCTGCCTCGTTGAAGCCATCATCGCGTGGACTGAACCTGGAGTAGCAGACGGGGGCGCCAGAGCATAAGTTACGCCACAGATGGAGGCGCTGGAACATTGCTGGACCTGGGACAGTGATAGCTAGTAGTCTCTTTCTGTCTCTCTCTTTCTCTCTCTCGTTCACCCAGTCCTCCCTGATGTAAACCTGCTCCCTTTCTAGCTCTCCTTTTCTCTCGTCCCCCCTTTTTTTTCCTCTTTTTTTCCTCGGTTCTTCCCCTTTGCCTTTCCCCATTCACCTCCTCTGTTACCTCCTCACGTGGTTCCCTCCTCCCTCCTCATCAAAAATAAAGTTGAAAGGTTGTACGACATTTGACCAGATTTAGTGTCTTAATCTCATCCTTGGGATCGTATCGAAGCCTCCTCGACATTGGATCGGGACACATGGTCTGAGTTCCTGGGGGTCCTTATGCGAGGTCATTGGCAGCATCTTTAGCAGGGGCGGCATCTGCTGCTGCAGGACCAAGTGGTGATGCAGGAGGGGTCACAGCAGCCAGAGGTGATGGGCACTCCATCACAGCTGAGGATGCTGCCAACAGCAGCGGAGGTGGAGGAGCCCACCACGGTGTTCTGTGGGAAGGAGCTGAGGATGGGTCCAGGCAGGGTCACCATCACGGGGGAGGGCTGGATGACAATGGTGGAGTTCTGGCACTGCCTGACACAGAACTCATTGCAGCTGTTGGCCAGCGGTGTCAGACCACAGGGCTGGCATGGGTGGCACTGGTTGTAGCAGGACATGTCTTGGGGTCTGGAAGTGCACCTGGGAGAGAGGGCAGGGAGGAAGCAAAAGACGGTGATGCCTGAGGAGCAGCCTGTCACCACACCATGAGGGAGCCAAAGAACATGTAGGGCTGGGAGGCAGAGACTGTGCAGGGGTGTTTGGGGGCTTCTTGGCGTCATCCTAATAGCACCCCATGCAGCTACTGCCTAGCCCCTGAGTCCAGAAGCCACCTCCATACACTCCCAGATTCCCTCCATGTCTAAGCTACTCCCAGCTTCCCTCCCTGTCTAAGCTTCTCCCCACTTCCCTCTCTCATGAAAAGCAGACCCACAATCTGGCAGGGGACAAAGCTGGTGTCAGCTGAGACGTCCATTGAGGTGAGGCCTCCTTTCAGAGAAAGCAGAGAAGGAGAAGGAGCTTCAGACTCACCTGACTCCCAAGGAGAAGGAGGCAAGAGAAGGGGATGAGAGAGCGAGGAGCTGGGCCAGCTTTTATCATGGACCTTTGCTGCCCCAGGCTGCCAGAGGCATCCCTTGGAGAGGTGATTCTCTTCTGACAAGCTCATCTTGAGTGCAAACCATCCCAGCTAATGCTGTGTTTTGGCTTCCTCAATGGCTGCCTTCTCATTTCCTGCTTTATGCCAGTCATGTTCCCCACTGGAGCATCTTTTGCATGACAGGATGAGAGGCCCAAGCATTTGCAGTGCAAAGCATGGCAGCGTGGGCAGAGGACTCATCTTCCATGCTGCAGGAGTCCAGGAAAGGACACTCAAGATAGGCTAAGCAGCTGGCTTAGACAACACATATGCAGACACACACACCAATCCACACCTTCAGTCCTCTAGATTTAATTGAGAAGAGTCAATGCACCCAAAGAGAGGCTGACTACACTGTCCAGGGCCACCGCACAGCTGTTGGACTTGATGGAGTCATCTTCTGCATGTCTTGTACAGCTGATGAGATAAACGTGCCCAGCTTGAGCCCGTTCAGCCACACAAAAGCCCTTTCCCTGCTCTCTCTCTCTGTCCCTGAGTACCATGGACATGGGTATGGGGCTTAGCCATGGGATGGAGGTGCTTGTAAGGTCTGGTGGGACAGCCTGTGGGTTCATTGCCGATCGCATGATGAAGCAAGCCATGCAGACATGCTCAGATGTGCAGGCCCTGCTGTGAGCTTATGCTGGCTGGGGAGTTCAGAAGTCACCCTCGGCCAATGGCAGGATCAGTGTCTCCAGAAAGATCATTCGTCCTATTGACCATGCACGTCTGCTCTGGGCTGGGCTAAGTACTGCGTGTGAGCTGAGTGTGCTTCACGGGGCGTGGGAAGAGTCTGTAGAGTCTGTTTGAGCAGGTCCAGAGGAGGGCCACGAAAACCATCAGAGCGTGGGAAGACCTCTCCTATGGAAAAAGTCTGAGAGAGGTGGGGTTGTTCAGCCTGGTGAGGAGAAGGCTCTAGGGAGACCTTCTGGTGGCCTTTCAGTACTTAAAGGGGGCTGATAAGAGAGACAGAGAAAAGTGTTTTGCTGGGGCCTGTAGTGACAGGCCAAGGGGCAATGGCTTTAAACTGCAAGAGGGTAGACTGAGATTGGACATCAGGAAGAAATTTGTTGGAGGTGAGCTGGAGGCTCCAGAGGTAGTAGGAGCCAACAAGGAAATGCCTGTGAAACACCTCAAGGGAACCAAGTGGTGTTCTGCTGTGAAGGTAACAAGGCCAACAGCTCAGATGAAATGCCTCTATACAAATGCACACAGCATGGGAAACAAACAGGAGGAGTTGGAAGCTACCGTGCTGCTAGAAAGCTACGACCTGATTGCCATTATGGAAACTTGGTGGGATGAATCCCACAACTAGAATGTAGCTATTGATGGCTACAGGCTGTTCAGAAGGGACAGGTGAGAAAGGAGGGGCGGAGGAGTTGCCTCAAGAAATCATTAACAGTGTGAAGAGCTGTCCCTGAAGAATAGCCATGAGCCATGAGCAGGTCGAAAGCTTATGGGTAACAATCAGAGAGAGAGGCAACAAAGGCAACCTGGTGGTTGGTGTCTACTACAGGCCGCTGGATCAAGAGGAGCCGACTGACGAAGCCTTCTTCCTCCAACTCTGGGAGGCTTTGCGCTCGCAGGCTCTCATCCTGCTGGGGGACTTCAACCACCCCGACATCTGCTGGAAAACCAACACGGCAAGCTGTAGGCAATCCAGCAGGTTCCTAGAATGCACTGAGGGAAAATTCTTAAGCCAGGTAATAGACACCCCTACCCGAGGGGATGCGATACTGGACCTGGTGGTCACCAATGGAAGCGAGCTCGTC